CCTAATAAAAAAAAAAAAAAAGTCATTGGAATATGGAGATCTGCTACAATAAAACCATTTAATTTTTAACAAGAAGCCCTGATGGCTCTGTGATTAAGTGCTTGGCTTCTAACCACAGCAAATTTTCTCTTTCTTTTAGCAACTCCTTTAACAGCAAAAATGTTCTTTTATCACTAGGACTCAGATAAGGAGTATTTTTCTATGAGTTGGGAGAATTTTGCTGGTTTAATTTCACTTCCTTCCTTCACAGGAGATGGAGATAGCTCTTGAGTAAACTTCTTTCCCTTTTTCCAAAGTGTCCGTCTTCCTTGCCTCCATTATCTATAAAACTTATAAAAATAGCTTATAGAGGCATCATGGACATGGTTAAGTAGCAGTGAGTGACAGAGGAAATAAACTGCAGTTTTACTATAACTGTTTTTGTGACAAACAAAAAAAAAAATAATAAAGAAAGATGTGTTTTCCTAAGATCTAAGATCTATAGGAGCTATCTGCTCTCATAAAGATAATAGCCCAGAAAATCCTTTGGGGCAGTTCTACTCTGTCAGATAGGGTAGCTATGAATTGAAAATTGACTGGATGACACTCAGCAACAACAGAGGTTAAGGTTATTTCTACAGTGGGAATAAAGTATATTATTTACAATGACCTGAATACAACTTCTGTACATTTTTTCATATTTGGGTACACACCCAGATAATATTGACATAGGTGCTTTAATGTAATTGATGGTTTAATTTTAAAACTTACATATGGAATTCCAAAGAGATTAAATTCTAGCATGCCAATGATTGACATATGCAAATCTCTCCAACGTGAAACGTTATCACCCAGCCAGTGGCCAGTGTATTTCCCACTCCCAACAAATGTTGAACGACTCAAAACAAATGCTCGCTTCCTTGTAGCATTCTGAGAGGCACTGGAGAAATCATAAGAAAAAACTTTCTTCAGTACTCTAAAAACATCTTACATTTTTCTTTTATTCTAAAAAAATAAAAATGATAACTTTAGAGTACATCATACTTAGCATGAACAATTTTTCCAGATTTCCCAATATTCATGTAATCAAAATATTTTATCAAGATTTATATCAAAGCTACAAATTTGTATGAACATGAAACATAGGGAATGAAGGCAGTAAAAAAAAAAATAACCATATATAAATAACTAAACACATTTTAAGAAATAGTTAAAAACCAATGTTAAGCCTCCAAATGAAATTTTTTTGCATTGAACTTTTCTTATGAGTTTTACTATGATGCCGAGTTTCTCAACCATAGCTGAATGTTAGAAACTCATGAGAACTTTAATAAAACAATAATAACACTGCCAAAACTCCATCTTAAATGAATTAAATCAGATATCTAGGAATGGGACTTGGATATCAGCATTTTATGAAACTTCTCTGTGACTTTATTATACAATAATAGTGGCTTTTATACTAATGTTGGAAATGGCAACAATTTTCTTTGAATAATTGTATTTTCCAGTGAAAATTTGTATGTGTATGAAAAAGAATATTTGTGGAGTTTTTCATAGCATTTTTATTACAATATTTTACTTTGGTTGTTCTTTTGTTTGAATTTAACTTGTATATTTAATAATTTTTTAAAAATCAAACCTAAAAATCAAGAAAAAACTGGAATGGACAGTGCTACCAAACAGATCTAATATGAACTCCATCCAGCTCTGCCATGTAAAAGATATGTAACTGTGAACATGTTACTTAATAAGTGTAAAATGGGATTAATAACACTTCCTGGGGTTGGTGTGAAGTTTAAATGAAAAAGAAATATGAATGTTGGTCCTCTGGTGGACATTAAAATCTTCAGAAATGTTATCTGTTCACACTGAAGAGGAATACGTATCTAAATCTTCTTCTTCTTCTGGTTCTTATTTCTTTTTCTTCTGTTCCTCCTTCTCCTCCTCCTTTGAAGAGTCTAAACTCCTTTAGAAGGAATCCTTTTTTTAAAGATCCCTAGGGAGCTCTGGTAGCATAGTGGCTAAGACACTTGCCTGCTAACCAGAGGGCTGGCGGTTCAAACCCACCAGCCACTCCT